CACAGTGATGCAGGGGACTGTTCTGTTCTGGTCCTGCTGGACCTGACTGCAGCCTTTGACACTGTTGACCATCACCTGCTACTGGAGAGGCTGAGAGACTGGGTAGGCCTATCAGGATCTGCTCTGGAGTGGTTCTCCTCTTATCTCTCTGAGCGCTCCTTTTCTGTGGCCGTCTCCAAGTTTAGGTCCTCCACCACCTCTCTTACCCATGGTGTCCCACAAGGCTCTGTGCTGGGGGCTCTGCTCTTCCTCCTCTATCTGCTTCCTCTTCAGCACATCCTGAGCTCCTTCAAAGGAATCTCCTACCATCTTTATGCAGATGACATCCAACTGTACATCTCCTTTAAGCCCCATGAGATGTCTAAGCTGCAGCTGTTACACACCTGCTTAGACTCCATCAAAACCTGGATGGTGGGAGCTTTCTTCAGCTGAATGAAGATAAGACTGAGATCCTCATCTGTGCCCCAGACAAGCTGGTTCCCAAAGTCAGAGACTCTCTTGGTCAGCTTGCTTCTCACACCAAACCTTCCGTCAGGAATCTTGGTGTGACCTTTGACCCAGCTCTCACCCTGGATTCTCATGCCAGTTCTCTTGTTCGCTCTTCCTTCTTCCATCTCAGGAACGTTGCTAAGCTGAGTCCCATTCTGTCCCGCTCTGAACTTGAGACAGTTCTCCACACCTTCATCTCCTCACGCTTAGACTACTGTAACTCTCTTTTCACGTGTCTGAGCAGAACCTCCCTGAACCGTCTACAGGTGGTTCAGAACGCCTGTGCTCGGCTTCTGACCAAGTCCTCCAAACACACCCACATCACCCCGCTTCTCCTCCAGCTTCACTGGCTGCCAGTCAACTTCAGGGTTCATTTCAAGATCCTGGTTCTGGTCTATAGGGCCTTACATGGACAAGCACCATCTTACATTGGTGATCTTCTTAGTCCCTACATCCCCAGCAGGTCCCTGAGGTCCAGTGATCAAAGCCTACTGGTTGTGCAGCACCAGGCTAAAGGTCAAAGGTGACAGATCATTTGCTGCTGTGGCCCCCAGACTCTGGACCTCTCTCCCCCTGAGCCTGAGATCAGTGGACTCAGTGGTCTCCTTTAAAAAGCAGCTGAAGACTCACTTGTTCAAGCTGGCTTTTGTATGACCTTCTTCACCTCTCTCTCTTTATTCTGCTCTCCCCACCTATTCCACCTTCCTCAGGATCCACTGATTTCCCTCTTTCCTGTTCTCTCTCTCTCTTTCTTAACATTTTTTAATCACAATTGTCTATTTTTGCTCATTTTAAATATATTTTTCAACATTTTCTAAATGCTTTTTAATATTTTTACTTTTTATGTTTTTGTGAAGCGCCTCGTGATTTTTATCTTGAGAGGCGCTTTAGAAATGATATTTTCTTCTTCTTCTTCTTCTTCTTCTTCTTCTTCTTCTTCTTCTTCTTCTTCAGGGGTCAGTATTAGAACCTGCTCTATTTCATGTATATATAAATTACATTTTTCAAGTCTGCAAAACTCTGAAGATGATCTTATTTGCTGATGATACAAATTTGTTCCACACTGGAAATGATCTCAATGAAATAATTAATATTATTAGTAAAGAATTAAGTAAACTAAAAAATGGATGAATAATAATAAATTATCATTGAATATAGAAAAACAAAAGTAATGACGTTTGGCATTTGTAAAAACAAAACAGAAGTATGAATAAAGATTGGCGATGGAAAATTTGAGAATGTTAATGAAATCCAATGTTTGGGTGTGATACTGGATAAGAAACCCAGTTGGAAGCCCCACATTAAACACATACAAACCAAAGCAGCAAAAACATTGCAATTAAATGAAGCAACTGTAGGACTGTAAATCACTCCATATTCTGTATTGTGCATTAGTTCTGCCATATCTCACTTACTGTACAGAGCTTTTGGGAAACAATTATAAAAATGCACTACACCCACTATCAGTATTGCACAAGAGGGTAATACGTGTCATTCATTAAGCTGGGTATCTGGATCATACTAATTCTTTGTTTTTACAGTCAAAATACATTAAACTCAAGACCTGGTTCATTATCAAACAGCTCAAATCATGTTTAAAGCTAGTACGCACTTATTGCCACCTAATATTCAAAAGCTCTTCAACCAGAGTGATGAGGGATATCATTTACGAAGGACTAACAATTTTAAAATGCCCAGGGTAAGAACCACTAAAAGGAGTGTCTGTGTATCAGTATGTGGTGTGAAACTGTGGAATGGGATGCAGGAAATACACAAACAGTCCAAATATAAACACATTTAAATCCATTAAATGATAATTAATGGATATGAAAATGAGTTTCTCTGAGGTTATGGAAACTATGATATTGTCATTATTCTTTTGCTGTTGTTTATGTTATTATTGTCATTGTTATTATTATTATTGTTATTATCATTATTATTATTACTATCACTAGTACCATAAAATGTTAATGCAAAATGCTCTCATTAGTAGCTGATATATATATATATATATATATATATATATATATATATATATATATATATATGTACATATAGTTATATATATATATACATATATATATATATGTATATATATATATATATATATGTATATATATATATATATATATATATATATATATATATATATATATATATATATATTAATATGTATGTATGTATGTATAGATGGTAACTTGTAAAGTAAATTAGTAATGTGAGACAAGGGGGTGGGATTGAATAAGCACTTTGCTTCTTCTTACTCCATTTGGACAAAGACTTCTTTTTTATTGGTATATCTTCTTTTCCACTATGTTAATTGATTTTTTGAAAATATTTTGTCTTATGTTCAAATAAACGTTTCAATCATTCAATCAATCAGATTTGTCTGCTGCACATCCATGATGCAAATCTCCCCTTCCACCCCATCCCAAAGGCGCTCTATTGGATTGAGATGTGGTGAGTGTGGAGGCCATGTGAGTACAGTGAACTCATTGTCATGTTCAAGAAACCAGTCTGAGATGATTCAAGCTTTATGACATGGTGTGTTATCCTGCTGGAAGTGGCCATCAGAAGGTGGGTACACTGAGGACATGAAGGGATGGACATGGTCAGCAGCACTCTAGTATTCTAGTATGTAGGCTGTGGTGTAGCAACAATGATCAATCAGTATTAAGGGGCCCAAAGTGTGCCAAGAAAATGTCCCCCACACCATTACACCAGCAACCTGAACCGTTGATACACTGCAGGATGGAGCCATGCTTTCATGTTGTTGATGCCAAATTTTGACCATCCATCCAAGTGTCGTAGAGGAAATAAAGACTCAACAGACCAGGGAACATTTTTCCAATCTTCTATTGTTCAATTTTGGTGAGCCTGTGCGAATCGTAGCCTCAGTTTCCTCTTCTTAGTTGCCAGGAGTGGCACCTGGTGTGGTCTTCTGCTGCTGTAGCCCATCTGCCTCGAGGTTTGACGTGTTGTGCGTTTAGAGACCTGGCATCAACAAGGCATTTTCACCCACAGAACTGCCACTCACTGGATGTTTTCCCGTTTTTGGACCATTCTCTGTATACCCTAGAGATGGTTGTGTGTGACAATCCCAGAAGATCAGCAGTTTCTGAAATACTCAGAGCAGCCCGTCTAGCACCAACAACAACGTCACGTTCGGAGTCACTTAAATCACCTTTCTTCCCCATTCTGAAGCTCGGTTTGAACTGCAGCGGATCGTCTTGGCCATGTCAGCACGCCTAAATGCATCGGGTTGCCATCATGTGAATAAGCAGATGGACAGGTGTACCCAATAAAGTGGCCAGTGAATGTATATTGCATGTTTTAATAATTTCCCTGCTCTTACACACCTGATTTGATGCTTGAAGTCTCTCTTTAGCATCTCCTCTAGTTCTGCAGAATCCTAGTCAGTCGTTGATTCAAACCAGTTGCGCTGAAAGACAGAAGCACGAAGGGTTGTGGTCCTCCAGGTTTCTGGAGGGCTAAACTAAACGCTGTTAACCTGCTGAACACCAGCACGTTTTAGTTGTTTTCGCTCAGCCTGACATCAGAGAGCTGCTGGTGAGGATGTCGATGCTTCGGCTCTAAGCTGTGCTCAGGAGAACTTCATGTAATTGTTTGGTACTGTTATAAATATTCACTTGGCTGCCTCTCCAGGCCTCGTTCTATAGCATCTCCAGAGTGTGCCGTGTTGGATGGTAAAACATTGAATTAATCAAGAGCGTTTCTGACAGCACTCCGAAGGTGGAGGTTAAAGTGGCACTTCGCAAACATTATTCCAGCAGCCTGGGAGGTCTCTAATGTAATCATGGCGGGTTATGAAAGGACAAGAAAGTCAACACTTTAAATATCAAAACGAGCTCTTGTGTTGAAAAGAAATTGCCATCACTGTAGCCAAATACAACAGCGGGTTTTTGCAGTGCATATAAGCTGAAGTGATTATGTGGCCTGTTTGTTTGATCCATCTATTGCTTGTCAGGAAAAAGGAGCAATTTGCATCCTCCTAAGCGCCCTTCGTATTTCACGCTAAAGTAGAGTGGCACATTCCCAAGTTACATTCCCACTTTTCCTCCTTCTCATATGAAGTGGTCACTAAAGAACTGCAGCAGGAGTATCATTCACTATGATGGTAGAGCATCCTCCTCCACAGCTCTCACTTAGTTCACTTAATCCACTTTAGCAGTCCTGTGCTGTGCTCTGCATGAGCACGGCACGTTCACGATGGGAGGCGGGACTGATACGAGCGCTGACCTGTCGGTTCGCTGTGAAATGCCAACCTGAAACACTTCATATCCGCGTTTCACAGCCCACAAAAATATCGTGCTCACCACATACAGATGAGACAAATTGTGTTTAACAGGAAATTCTAATGGAATAATAATAATAATAATATCTCCAAATCTTTTCATTAGTTAAAAAAGGAGCCAACTTTTTTTCAACTATAAAATTTCAGCACATCTTTTTAATTGTTCCTTGAAGCAGTGAATGAGATGCAGACAGAATACTCCACACAATAATTTAATCAAATCAACCACAGACTAGAAAAAAGAGCAAAGGCAATTTACACAGAATGGAAAAAAGCTCAGCTGGCAACAGGAAGTTTCTTTTCTGCCATAAGCTCAAATAATTACATGTTTACAGTCGAGTTGTTCCACTTTCACGAGTTCAGTCAAGCGCTGTGCTCTGTGCATCATTATAATATGTAACAACATTTCTGTATAAGGTCGTGTATCTAAGCGCAAACAAATGAGAAACAATCAGGTTTGAATATTTACACAAACAGGAAACCATGTAAAGAACATTTAACAGTTTCCAGATGAAGACTGAAGAGGAGCTGATGAGGATCTCTTTGAAAGCAGAAACAGGAGAGAAGTCAGTGACAGAAAAGTGAATATTAGTCATTTATGTAGCTGCAGCAAACAGGACATTTGAAACTGTGAAGCAAAGACTGAAACACAATTACATTTACTATAATAAGCTGTCTTTTGCAGTCTCTCCTGCATGAAAACTAACATTTGAATCCTGATGTCTGCTTTAAAAAATGCATTTGTGCTCTTTTTGTCTTCACTATCAACATAAATGTTTCCCAATGTATTCAAACAGAAAAATGATTGTAAGGAATTTTTGCAGAAACATAAAAATGATACTTGCATTAAAGCTTCTTGACAGTTTTTGTTCTTATCCTTAGATCTGTTTTTAAAGGAGACATGTTATGACTGTTTTACACTAGAATAATTTAAGGTTGATACAAATCATGATTATGAAGTTCTTTGCGAGGTTGCGGGGGCAGTGGCCTAAGCAGGGGGGCCCAGACTAAATCAGTCTCACATATAAAGCCATTTCAGCAGTTTTATTCTTGAAAGTTTCAGTTCCTTCCAGAATGAGCTGTTTCAGGGCACTGTCACTTTAACAAAATGGAGCTGGCCAAGCCCACCCATTCCCCTCTCAGGTTGCTATAAGCTGAAAAGCTCCAATATCCGGAAAGGGCTCAGAGTAGAGCTGCTGCTTTTCCAGCAGCAGCTTTCTTATACGTGAGAGATGGTTCTATACTAATTTCTCCTTTTGTGATGTCACAAACAGGGACTGTTTGAAACTGCTTTTAATAGGCACAAAATTGTTAAAACCAAGCACTGACAGAAAACGGACAGTTTTTTTAACGTTTGGAGTGTTCATTGGGGTAGTAAAGACCCACATGTCAACACAAAATGATGCAAAATGTGGTCTTGCATAATATGTCTCCTTTAAATACTAAAAATTAAAGAACATAACTGGTTAATTTGCACAGACATGCAAAATATTTGCTCATATGTCCATTTTAACAGAGCAAAACAAAGTGATTAAATTATCTGCGATATCAGGATCTGGAACACAAAACTCAACAGCAGTGATTATACCCCATTTGCTGGTCAGACTGTTTCCTGTTGCAGAACATCTGCTGCACACGTGCAAGTGCAATCACACTACATTAGCCAAGAGGTCGGGTTCAGGCACAGTCAGAAGTGAAATGCAACATAAGTCACAGCAAAGACCTTGGTCAGTGTGTTTTAGATTATTTGGTTTAGAATCTCTATTTTTGTCCAAAAGGGGACAAACAAAAGTGGTGAATCTGAGATACTGTCGCTGATCTTATTAAAATATGTGCTTAAAAGTTGCAAGATCAAAAAAAGTTCGATTTCTGCTGTGTTGAACAATCATCAGGATAAAATGCCAGAAGCATAGCAGCATAAAGGCACTGTGTCTGTTTTTACAAGCCAACAGAATAAATGTCCAAGATGAATCATGTCCCTATCACTGTCCACTTGTTTTTCAAATAAAAGCCAAAAAGACTAAAAAAAAAAATGAAGAAAAAGAAATCAAGTTTAGAGACGAGAAGGTTGACCTCCGAACAAAATCAGTTTCACTGAAATCTATCAGAAGAAACAGCCACATGAGTCCAAACCGAGGGTCAGAACCAAGTGCAAGTGTCAGTCAGTAGTGAGGACACCGAGGGCAGTCTCGTTATTTTGTTCACATAGCGCCCACGAGATCAAAGCATTCACACCACACACGCGTGTGCCCACACACACACACACACACACACACACACAAGACACATAAAATGTCGTTAAAGTCAAAACTTTGATTAAACAAAGGGTACAGAAAATAAAACCGCATTTCAATAAATGTTGGCATCGAGCAAATGTACCTTTAAACATAGTTCACTTTAACATACTGGTTTTGTTTAGTGTTCACTTGTTACAGTTGAAATGCATCACGTGTGTATTTACAGCTAACATCATCTGTTTTTGACGTAGCTAAGCATAATTTCCGTTTTGATGCTAAGCTATGCTAAAGCCTCTTTCACACCAAATGTGGAATGGGTGCGGTCGGGTTTCATTACGGCTGCAGCATTGATCAAAAATCTAGTCCGATCATAGCTTTCACATGGATAGAGACGTGGAGCTCCAGAAAGTTTCTGCATGTTGATTGTAATGACATTTAGGAAATTCACATGAGCCAGACAGGAAGTGAGATGTGTTGCAGCGAGGTGCATCCGGTATATTTCAAAAGAAAACCTGTGTCACGTTATTTCTGCCGTTGATTATTTCTTTTTTAAAGGGATAATATGTATTTTTTCTTAGTTTTAGCACCCTACAGTGTCCATAAGTGAAACAAAAAACAAAACGTATCTCCTCGCTGTGCGTTTGTCTTTTAACACCTTAATCTAACTGCTGAAATGTCTCCCCAGCCTTCATTAGTTACTACAGGAGCAGTTAATCACTCAGTCATTCAAATCAGCTGCGTTCACCATCTAAAACATGCTGGAAGCATGCTGGAAGCAGACTCCAGCACCAGGCATGTCAGCTCCATTTTACTAAGTCCAACAGGCTGCCACTCTGAAGTTGCAAGTGCAATACTCTGGCCACGGAGGACGGTGGGGGTTTGAGAGACATTTAATTCACCCTGTAAAGGGTCATTTTAGTACATACTGGTTCAAGAAAATGAAAATGATTTGAAAATATTGAAAGTTCTCTATTTTTACAGGTAAAGAAAAATTAAACAGATTGTGTTAAATTTCTAATCCTTTGATGCACTTGTGGGAGCAGATATCCAGAGACTTTCTGCACACGAACCACAGACAGAGTGAATGACAGCCCGTCCAGAAGCTGCATGGAAACTGGACCGCCTCCGTGCACGCCCCACTGTGAAACAAGCTTCGGTCCTATTATTCTTTCTGCAGCGAGTGAGAGTGTGTTTGTGTGTGATTACAGCGGATCCCTGAAGGAGGACACCACAATTTTTTCATCACGTAGCTTCGGTTTGTCAGTCCTTGAAGGAGCTGAGAGATAATAAGAAACCTTTTCAAGATAAAGAACCACTCAGCATGCAACTGTAATGAAATTAAGTTGTGTTTTCACATGTAGAAGACTTGTTAGAGAAGATTTTCATAAGTAATAACCATTTTTAAAAAGTGACTTAAAATATGCACTCAAAGAAAAAAATTATAAAGTAAAAATAAATTTTGCCTTTAGAGCTCATATTAATAAAAGCACTTTACTTTGTTTTGAACAAACTCCTACATATTTGTTTTTTAAACACTAATTCACTTGGGCGTACTTCAATTTATCAAGAAGTCTCAGAAAAGTCTCAGAAATGATCACATCTCTTTTAGGTGCAATAATGCAGGATAATTATTTTAAATTCATAGATGAAAATAAAAATACCTAATTTATTTTGAGGGTAAATTGTAATTAGGCACAGAGCAAACCCAGATTATAAAGCCAGATATATACAAAGTATATAGATAATATTATATGTGAACAAAGACACTTGTGTTACAGCTGTTTGTCTATAAAAAGTCAAATATACAGAAGCAGAGGCTTGTGTTACATAAAGAAATGTTATCATGTCACTCGAAACTCAGTGCACATGGACATTCATTAATCCTCACAACAAAATAATAGAAATTAAATTAAAAGACAGAAAAATAATCTCTGTGCTTAGTTCCACTTGTTCGTGTTGATCCCCCGGCCAGCCAGGACCAGGAAGTTCAACGATCGTGGTCCATGAAAGAGTTTGGTTTGAACTGTTTGACTTTGATACACATTTAAATTCGTACCGGATACCGGAGGTTTTGTGGCCGGTTGACATCAGCCCTAGTAGATGACCTCATAGACTGTTGCTTTTTTGTCTCCTGAGCCCGTCACAATGTACTTATCATCTATGGAGATGTCGCAGCTCAGAACTGAGGAGGACTCCTTCGACTGTGAGGGGGAAAGAAGCCACGCGTGAGACAATCACAAAGGAAAATCTGTTTTTTTTTAATGAAACCATGCTTTAGCAGCAGTGACAGCTCATGCTTTACCTCTGAGAGCATATAATTCAGCATTCACTGCATTTTAATAAGCTTTACAAATATTAACCTTTTGATTTATCTAAAAATGTTAAACACTACAGTTTTATCTCTGCCACGCACACGAACCTGGAAGATGCTGGCTCCATACGGGGTTCTCCAGGCATTGAGCAGATTGTCTTTTCCTGTACTTACAAACCACTTCCCTGCAGAAAACAGAAAAAGTTATAAACGTAATGATTACCTGTCTGTGTGTTGATGTACATCTATAGTATACTTTCTTGTTGTCACTTTAGTCTCAGACCTCCATTCCGTCATTATTATCCAACAATCACACGGGTTTACAAGAGTAGCCAGAGAAAATGTATACAACGGTAACAGGCTCCTTATCACCTCTGGTTACAGTAAATTAAAACATGAACAATGTCTTTCATGAAATGCAACAAAAAATATTATGAAAAACATGAACATTAAGCTTTAAAAGGTGCAATGCTGTGCGATTTATCGGCTGTTTTAGCACAAAATACCTATGAATTATATTATTTTTAGCAATGTAAAAAAACACTGAAATAATGAGATATCTCACGTTATACTAAGTCAATATTTAAAAGCAGTTTATTGATATTTTTTGTTTGAATTTAAAAGCAAACATTTGCTGTATTTCTTTTGTGTGCAATTCAAACTCCAACTGCTAGGTGGCAGCATTTGTTACCAGCTTCATTCTGATGAAACAAGATGTCTATAACCATAGACACGTAGATGTCCCGTGAACTGGCGCTGCCTTTTGGAGCTGCCATAGCGGCCGGCCGCCATCTTAAATGGTTCTTCATTCACCCTCAGTGCATTTATTTCTACTGAGGAAGGTGCTTACCCAACTAATAAACACGTTATCATGCTTTTTCACAAAATCAGACACATGGTATGGCATTATAATTGAAATATAGATATAATTACACAAAATAAATGAAAGTTAATGAAAAAATAAATTCCCATTAGGTAGGCTAGAAAAGTTAATCCCACGTGATCTGTTTTCAGTAGTACATCTGTTGTTGCAACCGTAGGCTGCACAAAAGTGGGCATAGTTGCTCATTCTGCATTGACTTTGGAGAATGAAGAGACCCATCTAACATGGCGGCAACACTGTTATGCTCTCCAGCGCCCTATATGGAGCCTAAGTCACTTCCGCATCATGGGTCCCCGCAAGAACAAAAAAATGAATACAAGTCAACGGAGCTAAAAACGTTATTTTCTAATCTGCTTTGCCTTACACCCTGGATAGACCTACAGATGTGTTGCTGCAGTTTAAATGAAAAGCAATGCTGGGTGTTTCGACCACGCCAGTCATGTACTTTGAGATTTATTAGCTTGTAAAAGTTCGTAAATAGCACTACTACAAACTAGAAATCGGTACGCCGCATATGTGACGTCACCACTCCTCTCCCCAAAGTAGCTGCTACTTACCAAATGACCAGATTTATGATGGTTCTTTCCTCCTGTGGGAAGTTTGCTGAACTTACAGTCATTTTCCCTCCGTTTGCTTTGTGTCTGGTTCGATGAAGTCACTTTTGTGAAGCGTATTTGTGGTTTTGGACTTGTTTTCACACAAAACCTAAAATAGCATTTCCCCCGTTTGAAAACAAGCACATTCTTGTTATCAAAATGCGTCTTTAAAATTCACGGATATCATATGTGAAATCAATGGCACAAAACAAGCGGAATTAGAAAATTGCATTTTTAGCCCCGTTGACCTGCATTCATTTTGCATTCTTCCGGGGACCGTGATACGGAGGTGACTTAGGCTCCCTATGGGGCGTCTTACCACAACGCTGGGTGTGTCTTGGAAGCATCTTGTCTGGGTTTTCCAATCGAATTCATTCAAAAATAATCTGGTTTTTACTGTGTGCCATCTCCCTGTGATACATATAGTATCACCAGATTATTGCCAATACACACCTGTAATTAAACATGGAATTCTTCAAGTCAGTAAAGATGCATATAGATGCAATAAAAGATGTAACTTTTGTTTTTCTCATTTGTGATTTCAAAGCTTCACCTAGGTGACCCAGTAAGGCTTCCTTTTGCAGTGCCCTAATAACTATACTTACTTGGTAATTACATAGTAAGTTAAAGTATATTATTGTGTAATTAAAGTGTATAATTGTAATAATGTGTAATCATTGTTTAAAGCAGTATTTACTGGGAATGATTAATAAAATAAAAACTATGATTGAACCTGAGTTACGTGGTAATAACTGTTTAAGAACTCAGAAACAATATTACACTTTAACTTACTAAGTAATTACCATGTAAGTACTTAGTAATTAGGGGAGTGTAAAAGGAAGCGTTATCGGTGACCCTAAATGAACTCTCCAGTCTCTGAACTGTGAGCAAACCAGCTTGATGAATGGAGGAGGTTTTTTTTTGTTCTTGCATCACGTTTTGTCTCAGTTACAGGTGTTTAAGAGCCCAGGGAGAATTTTTTTTATAAAAAAAAAGTTATGAGGATGCTATGAAGGATTTTGTTTAAAACCAGCCATAAATGTTCTTATTATAATTCAAATGCAAGCAGATTTAAAAGAAACTAATTAGAAATGCAGTTTTCCACCTGGATGGGTTCATTTCTTACCACAATGAGCAAATCTGAGAGAAAGCACGCAGCTTTCGTGCAAGTGGAGCTGGTACTTGTCTGGTTTGGTGACGTGCAGAACCTCCACGTTACTGTTCTCCATCCCCACGGCCAACCACTCACCCGTTGGACAATAACCCAAGGAGAAGATCTGCCATAAAATCAAACCCGTAGTATTTTAAAGGTAATAAATAAAATAACTGTGCACGACAAAAGAAGTTATATTTTCCCACATGGTGAATAAAAGGAAAATGTTCCCATAAATGCACCATATAGCTTCAAAAGCCTGTTAAACACAGAGTAATTCATTTGACTTGAAAGTCGTAGAGTAGAATGCACGAGAACTCAGCCTTATCGCTCCCTGTTTGCTCTTCCCATTGCTGAAATCTCTTTATTTCACACTCACATCCTCGTGTGCACACTCAGGCTCTGAAATGGCTCTATTCGGGAAAATTACAGTAATGGTCTATTATTACTGCTTTTCTTCTTATCTGGACAAAAAAAAAAGAAAACCCCTAAATTCAAACTGCAAGTATGATTAACGTTAAAAGTATTTGAGGGCAGGACAAAAACAGCCTGGCCTTTAGTGTGGGTTAAATGCTCTGAACTGAGCTTGTAAATGGCTGCAATAAATCAAAAGCTGAGACGGTAATCACACACACTGCAGCTGGCAGCAACTCGTCCTGTGATGCACACTTTTTATCCGTCACTGACATTTTTACTTTGACATAACCACCAGCTAACACCCAGAAATGAGCTTTTCCATCACTATTAGGAACTTCAGAAGGGACTGGACTAACCGTAGGTGGCTTCAGTTTCATGCTGAAAGTTAGGACAGAAATTTTGACTAAACCAAATAAAAAACTAATTTTTGTTTGTTTTTTGCAAACCTGAGAGGTGAAGTCATGCTGCTGCAGCTGCCGTCCCTCCCTCAGATCCCAGGATCGGACCGTGTTATCCAGACCTCCGGTCCACAGCTTGGTCCCGTCATTGGAGATGTCTATACAACTGGCCCCATCGGTGTGGCCCTGAAACTGCCTGTAAAGAAAACAAATTCACTCTGAATAGAAAATGCTTACGAAGGTGTATTCTGTGTTTGGGAAATAAACAAAAATGTTCCATATTTTTAATAGTCAGCATCAGGAAGACAAAACTGCAAGGGTTTGATAGGCAGATCAACTCAATAAAATATATTTAGTGTTTTGTGGATAATTCAATAAGATATAAAACAGTGTGAGTGTGCATGCAAACAGGGGGTACTTCACCTTTAGCTCTAACAAAACCCCCAGCAGCACCAGAATAAACACACCACTGATACAGAATGATGATGGAAAATATTTTCTGCAAAACATATTGCACCTTTAAAAAGAAGCTGGAGCTGGCCACACCCTTCTACTCTCAGATTGGTTGCTATGAGGTGAGGAGCTTAGAAATCTGGCAGGGGCTCCTTGTAGAGCCACCGCTCATCAGGCACTGACAGGTGTGTGTGGTTCTTTGCCAATTCCACCGATTGTGACGCCGCAAACGGGGACTTTTACAAACTTCTCATTTTAAGCACATAATTCATGAAACAAAACACCAACAGAAGAGGATGAATGGTTTTTGTTGGTATTTGGAGTGTTTATGGAGGCAGTAGAGACCCACATGGCAACACAGCAGGATGCAAAAAGTCAGATTTGCACAACATGTCCCCTTGAAATCATCGGTGGCTTTGTTAATAGACCCAAACAACATTATTTGGATTTGTTTGTGTGTGTCATAGTTTCGGTTGTCATGTCCTGATCATTTTTGGAAATTTAAAAAAAATTATTTTGTCTCCATTTTGTAAATCTAGACAAATGTGTCTGCCTACACTCCAAAGATCCAGCGTGTAATGTTTACTGGTATTTCACTTTTTCTCACTTTGTTCTTTCTCTTCTGACATGATTCATCTCTGCATGCTTGGCTTTTATCATCAACAGTAAAACCAGGAGCTGCACTTTTCTACAGAGGCTGACTCAGCAGAATTCATAATTAGTTGCTTGAATTTACCGACACAAACCTTCAGCCACACCCACCTAACCAGAGTCTGGTTATGGAGATCCCAAACAGCTATGTTTCCATCAGAGCAGCAGGAAAAGCAGACTTTGGAGTCAGGACTGATGGCCAGAGCGTAACACGCCGGTGCTGATGAAGTTAGTTCTGCTTTGATCCGAGGAGTTGGTGTGGCCAAATCCCAAATCGACAAGGTGCTCGCCTCGCCTCCAACGATAAGTGTTCGACCGTCTGGGAGCAATCGACATGAACGGATGTAGTTATCCCTGTTCTGATGTGACACATACAGCACCGCCTTTAGGAAAAATCGTTAAAGGCAAACTCAGATGCATTCAGTCTGTGTTGTTTGTACTTACAAGGCAGTCCAGCTGGGAGACGGGAGTCTTGTTTCCTGGGTGACTGATGTCCCACACCTTCACGCAGCCTTTGCCACCAGTGTAAACATGGCGAGTCGGGTTACTGATGGTAACAGCGCACACCACCTCTCCGTGGCTCAAAGTATTGATCTGCCGAGCGTGCCGTGGGATGCCGGGGCCGATCAGTGCATCTGGAGGAAAAGGCACAGGCTGCATTTGTCCGTCTGCGCTCACATGAAAGGAGTACGCTCTGAAGAGACAAAGAACGGAAGAAAAAACAGAAAAGAGAGAGACAGTGAGGAACAAGCAAGCAGCATGGACTAAATGTCAACTTTCATGGTGCAGCTGTTCAATTCAAGAGCGAACATACGGCTTTCCACCAGGAATTCCCGACAGGCTGGGAGGAAGTCCTGGGACACGGATGTGGTGGTGAGGATCAAATCCCACCTAAAGAATATCGGAGGAAGACAACACAAAAAATATATATTAGAGGAGATGCCAGGGAGAGACAGAGAAAAGGAAGGAGTTGAAAAACAAGCATCAAGTGACGTTTCAGAGGCGTGATCTCACTCCTGAGATCTCCAGTTAAAACTCTAATTAGAGCTGCGAGAGCTGAAGCTGGACCTCTGTCTAGATGTCGTCGATCTTTTTAACCTTCCTCCTACCTTGTTGTGTCTTTTGTTGAACAACAACAACAACCCTGATGTAACTTCTGGCTGTTGGTCGTGGTTTGTTTCTTGTTCTGTACTGGGGTTCGTTCACTTTTATCAGTCAGGTCATGGTGACCTGAAGTATAGACTCTTCTCTTTTCAGAATGTTTACATAAAGCAATCCAAGCAGTGCTCATGATTGACTTAAAGTGACAATGTGTATTTTTACCATTATTCTCCGGAAAATATCTATGGAAACGTTGTTGAAAATGAATGAAACAATGCCCAGTTGTTGGAAAATATTGGCGGCTTCGTAACATATAATCATAAAAATCAGGTATAAAGGACTTGGGGCGCGGGTTCAACGTCTCTGGGGGGCGTCATATTAGATGCCATGTTTCCTTTTGGCCAGCTTGAGGTCCTGTGCCTGCTGACGATGTCACACTAGATGATTGGCTGGATGTACAACTTACGGGAATTACGTTACCACGTTCAAAAACATGTATGTAGAAAGAAACATGAATTAAACAACAAAACTACTAAACTCTGTCCAAAACCCATGTAACAGAACAGAATCAAAAAAGAGATGCAATATATTTTGGGCGAGTGGTATTGCCGTAGTATAATGTCACCAGCAGGCGCAGAAACCACAGCGCCAGAAAACTAGCATCTGCATCGCATTTTCTCGATGGAATGAACCAAAGGACCATCAAAGTCTAAGTCTGAAGGGTCATGCCGAAGTTGCATGGTGATGTTTTTTTAAACTAGCGACAGTCATAAGGACAAAAACTACCCTGAAATGTATTTACTGCCCCCTAGCTCCAGGAAACTACACGCTGCCACTTTTAAGGCCGAAATCTGGAGGTTTTTTATCTGACGGTGCCACCTAGAGGCAGAAAAATGTATCACGCCATAAGTCATTCTCTCCACTTTCGTATTTACGTCTGAAACAAACACCTCTCTTGTCAACATGCACCTCTAGCCAGCCAATAGAGCTAAAACACTGTTTTATTCTCACATTATGATGTTTATTACTTGACTATTAAGACTTACTTGTCTATAAGAAATGTCACCAACTCTGCATGTGTACAGGTACGTGCTCAAATCCTGTATCACATTTAAACTGTGACTGACATATGTACGTATGCGGATAACGTTACTGGCTAATGGTGAATGGCGGTCAACTCCAATTGCATGGGGCTCTACAGGACGGGGGATGGGTTTAGAAAAAAAAAGAAGCATTGCCTGCATTTTATCACAGTACAGAGTCACACTATCATTTTCCTACTTCCTAAAAAAACCCATAAAAGCACTGGCTGAAAGGGGGAAAACTTCAGATTGCATCTTTAAAAGATAGGTTTGTATAATACATTTTTGCATCTTAATATGCAGATTTGGTTCATCTGATTGTCTTATTTTGTTTTTAGAACCCAGTCAGAACGTTGCACTGCCAAGGGAAGTCCTAAATGAAATGTGCTAACATCAGGTAACTTCACATCTATGCAGGTTTGCATTCAGTTTGTTGCAATATCGACATATATATATATATATATACATATATATATATATATATATATATATATATATATATATATATATATATATATATATATGACTACACCAACAGGCCCATAAGGTAATGGATTTAGGTGTTGATACCACTTGTGTTCGTCCGTAAGCCGCCACAGCAGCAGCAGCCACTGCGCTCATCTGCGGGGAGATGTTATGGAGGCCGGTGTACGCGGCTCCAGCTCCACTCAGGTCTCCGTTCATTCCCGGGTGAGGAACCATTCCAAATGGACCAGGGTATGAGCAGGGCACGGCGAGCGGTGTGCGGAGACCAGGGGCTGAAAAATACATTTCTACAGTTATTTTCCTGTGAGAGGACCTTTGCTTCCATTCTGTAACTAAATTAAAAAGGTAATAAAGTCATTTTAAAAACATTTTATCTCGGAGACGTTTAATTTTCGGCCCTCACCCAGCATCTCAGCTGCTGTGGGTTTGCTCAGGGTGGGCCTCAGCCCGGGGGTGGAGGTGCTGCTGGGTGTGGGGGCCTCGGAGCGGGATGTTGGGGTGCTGGACTTGGACACAGGGGTTGTGGACTTTTCATTCTGCATCAACAATTACCAGAATTAATCTTAACAGATAATTTTGCAAAGAAGAGCTCAGCCATTTATAACTTTAGCTTTAAAATGATCAATTATTCATGTTTTCACTGACAATCCTTCATACCTAGGTTAACTTGACAGCCTGTCATTTCTTTTGTATTTTATCTGACTACCAGAAAACAGAAGATAGGTCAGAATACTCTAGATGACTCACCAGATTAATCTCTTTGGACTTGGACGAGGGTGTGCTGCTGGAGGAGGCGATGGAGGAAGGACTCAAGGGAGCATCTTTCTTCAACGAGCGATTTTTGTCCAACCCGTTTTCCCGAGGTGAGTGGGCGGGACTTTCTCGAGGAGATGAAGGATCCTGAGATGGGTGAGGTGAGAAAAGACGCATTTCAGATTATTATTTTTGACTAGTTCATGCAGGAAATAAGATCACAGCAGGCTTTAGTACCTCATTGGAAACATCCACCACCAAGTTGTCATCGCTCTTCTCTCCATCACTTTCCTGTGAGAAAACAATAATTACTTTAATCTTATCAAAACACTCTGACAATAAATTTCTTGCTAACTTATGCAGAAACAATCATTACTGTCAGCTCTTCAAATCACAGGAAAGCGAGATTTCATCTCAAGTTCAGATTTTCTGCAGACCCAAATTATTAAAGTCTCTTTCTCCTAAAAAACGTGTTTAATAATCCTTCTGCGACTCATTTGAACATTTTAACTCACGTAGTGCATCGAGTTCAGCTCTTTGTCATCTGTTTTCTGTTTCTTGCTGTCAGATGAAAAATCACTGGAACTCCGGTGCTTCTCTCCGGCCCGAAAACTGGCTGTCGGGGACACCGATGAACTCTAGAGGAAATAAATAAACAGCGGCTGAAGAAAACAAATACATGTTCTAAATATTAGTTATGGTGGAAAACAATTCAAAGATACAATAACAGCTGTTTTTCTGCAGCCTGGTTGAATTATTGTCTACAGAGTATAATAAAAAAAATGTAAAAATCAGATAATTTTGAAAAATCTCCGAGCACAGGTGGCCTTTTGTTGTTTGCAGAGAAAATCACTGCATAGCCTCAGAAACAGTGATGAGTGAGGTATCTTGTAAGGAAACACACACACACACACACACACACACACACACACACACACACACACACACACACACACTGGGCGTTTGAAGTAACCTGTCTGGAGTCCAGATCTGTCAACCCACATAAAACATTTGATGCTTAATAAAACAGAAAAAAGCAAAGAGGAGTCAAACTGTTGAGCAAATTCAAAGCAAGATAATAAATAAAAAGTTTAGAATAAACTGCTGGCATCTAATCTTAACTCCCCTCTGCCTGTTTAAAATGTCATCCTTCACTTTGATGATAATGCAGCTTTTATTGTTAAAAACTCTGGAATCAGACGTTTATGTGAGACGAACCCGTGTGTGTTCCTGAAAGCTTGCAGCTGATCACTGGAAACAGGCATGGGTCGGTTGTAAGAAACGATAGGCTGTGTGGTCTCTGCACTCATCATGTGTGGATGAGTAAATTCATCAGATACTCATAAAACAAAATACAAATCATCACATAAGGGCGACTCTGAGTCCCTCCTGTGTGCGACATTCCCCAGCGCTCCTGTAGAAAACAGTGAGTGGGTGGGAAGGGACTCCGCTGCCTTGCCTCCTGCAGACGCCACATGCACTCACTTTGGTAGCTGCCAGTTTCTGAACTGATTCAACTCAGCTGGATACATTTTTATTAGCCAACTCGACTCCTCTGATTGTAAAAATATTTTGTTCTCGCAGTCTGATGCAAACCAGCATCCTGTACAGTTTGATTAACACCACCACACATGTTTTCTTTTCTGTCTTCATCAGCAGAGTCCTGTTAATGTCATTACTGGAGAATGAATCTCTTTTTAGACGCATAGATCAGACTAAGGTCCGCTAAACATTCCCCCTCTTGTCTCTGCTGATCTCTCACTCTCGTTGGGAGGTGCTGCTTACCCAACAGACGCTGGACAGAAAGGGAAAAAAAGCAAGACCTTTAGCTCGACCTTTCCACTAACTCACGCCTGCAACCTTTCCACTGCCCTTTGCCGTGCAGCAAGTGTTGATGACAAAGATTCTGTGTGGGGGAAGAGTCAGGGTGTGTGTGTGTGTGTGTGTGTGTGTGTGTGTGTGTGTGTGTGTGTGTGTGTGTGTGTGTGTGTGTGTGTGTATTTCTGTTTACATTTTAGTTTTTGGTGTGTGCACATAATCCGACGATGTCTCTTTTCTGAGCGATAGGTTGAGCCGTCGCTCTTTGTCGTCGTCTCTTCACGCTGATTAGATTAATTAGCCTGCGAATTAGCTCATTTAATGACATCAAAGCAAATTAATTTTGCTGCAGAGACAAATGAAGGCGCCGCCGGCAGCACGGGCATTGTGACTGTGACAAACTCTTGGTGTGAATGAGTGAAAGTATTAATTCTTATTGACATCGTAATTATGTTTACCTCCCGTATCAAATGAATGGTATCTGTAGCCTCTCGATTTTTTCTTTCTAATTTAAAAATCTGAACAACTACAATGGGTTTCATTCATAATCAGACACAGATGTGCAAAATGTTCTGTTTTTATTATTATTATTAATAATAATAATATTAACATTAATTCACAGCTGTAAGGCATAAGAAGCATTTAGGCTGAGTTATTTTGCCATAAATCTTTCTGCTAAATCACTAATTGTAAAATGAGAAGTTAAATTAGGGATTATAACGAGATTGGATCGTAATAACTTATTAATGTTTGAGCATAGGGATTGTAGAATGTCTGACTGTTTCCACCTGGACCATTGTTAATGTGACACATGCCGTGCCTCACCACTTCCTCAGACATCATACACATAGATGCGACGTGGACGGGCGTTGCCTGTTGGAGCTAGCGTGGCAGCACACACGTTCTATGTGCACCAACAGCGTGTGCAATGATAAAACTTGTATTCTAAAGTTGGTTCCAATGACAGACAGATGGCTCCAAACAAATTCATGCAGAGGGAAAAAGTCAACGAGGATGTTTGTTTAGAGTAGATACAGTACAGGTAAATTTTATGTGATCCAAATATGGAAGTCGACCTCAGTCCTGAGATGGAGAACTGCAATGTGCTGCTTCTACCCATCTCAGATGATGGTTTATGGATTACAAACAAGTGAAGAGGCCTCAGCAAAAAAGTGTCTCAGAGAAATTAAGAGAGATGCTAGCACCACTGCACCACTACATCTCCACATGGTACCTCAGCTGCTCTGCAGCATAATCAGGATTCAAGTCCCAGAACAAGAGGAGATCTGCACCATGTGGTTCCACAGAAAAGGAGCCAACATCTGCAAGGACCAAACACACCCATGCCACCACTTTTTTCAGCTGCAGCCATTAAAATGTTTTTTAAGATGCACTTCCTGTCAAGAACTCGTGTGTCTCAAGGCACGTTTCTGCAGAAGCATGCCACAGATTTGCTAATCAGCCTCACCTGGCGCCGTTTCCTGATCCACTGCCCTGCATTTTCCCCTAAAGAGACCAAACACGCCACGGGCAGCATGTCCTTCCTTCAAACTGGGAAGATTTTACTTTTTATCCTCACCCAGCAAGACGCTAACGTGGATGGCTACACTGGACAATAAAGTCTGATGACATGAAGGCGCCTGGTATCTTCAAATGTGACAGAATGTGATGTTGGCCAAGCTGCAGTAAGAGAACCAGGACAAGAAAACCTGTTTTTTTCTGTTTTGATCAACTGCTCACACACTAAAGCTATAGATTTTCCTCCGTTTGAGATACTGGTCCATTCCTTTTGTCTTCAGCTCTAATAAGTTCAACAAAATCTGAAATCCTTTAGAACGCTGGTTGAAGTTTTTGGTTTAGTCTCTCGCCCTGTTGGCAGCCAGAATAGCGTGGAAGGACCAAAAAGGCTTGTTTACAAGTAAACAAAAAGCAAGGCAGAAATGGAACAAAGTCTAAGAGTCGTGGAAGCCATTGGACCGTGTTTCCACCAATAGGGAGTTTATTATAGCTGAAGAGGAAATTAAGTCATCATCACACGCAGAGTATGATCTGCTTCCCTTTAAGTTCGTATGTTTAAGGTCATCAAGAGAGAAAAGAAGAAAGAAACTCACTCACACATAAAGATCACAGGCTGGCCTGACAGGGAACATCACAAACATGTGAAAAGAAAAAACCCCTGAAGCAGATCAAAGGCATTTACCGCTGAACTTGATTCTCATTTCCACCAGAGCCAACAAAAGGTCTCACAAGGTGCTGTCCTTGAACGCACCACGACTGCTTAACTGACTGCCTGTAGTGGCAACAATAAGTCTGCAGACACACACTGATGCATCGTTTATACACACACCTTTAACAGTGTGTGAGGTGCTAATGCCAAGGACATTAAGGCACAGATGTTCATGCAGCTCACTGAGAACTGTACTCTGTGGACTGTTGCCAAGACAACCGTAGATCACTGACAAGCGGCTTATTGGTTTCATAGAGTGACTGTTGGCTGCTATGTCAAAGAGCATCTCGTTCTGTGTGTGTGGGTGTGCGCGAGCGTGTGTGTGTGTGTGTGTGTGTGTGTGTGTGTGTGTGTGTGTAAGCATGCATGCATGGATGGTGTCTCACAGGGCACTAATGAAAGGAATTCATCATTCTGCCCTCTCTGTCCTTATCACTGATTTTTGATGACCTCACACGCACACACACACGCACGCATACACACACTCACACACTAATTGCTCCAATCGAGAAGCCTCCAGCTCTACATGTGTGTGTGGTGGAGGATATGCTGCATGGGGTGCAAGATAACATATTAAAACATTCCCCCAGTTTCCACTGACGCAAAATACACACACACAACCCTGTAAAAGTGTGTGTGTGCGTGTGTGTGTGTGTGCGTGCGTGCGTGTGCGTGTGTGTGCGCGTGTGCATGTGTGTGTGCGTGTGCATGTATGTGTGTGTGCGCGCGTGCGTGTGTGTGCGCGTGCATGTGTGTGTGTGTGTGTGCGTGTGTGTGTGTGTGTGTGTGTGTGTGTGTGTGTGTGTGTGTGTGTGTGTGTGTGTGCGTGCGTGCGTGCGTGTGTGTGTGTGTGCGTGCGTGCGTGTGTGTGTGTGTGCGTGCGTGCGTGCGTGCGTGTGTGTGTGTGTGTGTGTGTGTGTGTGTGTGTGTGTGTGTGTGTGTGTGTTGGATCTCAGGCTGCCTGTATAAAGAACTGCTAATCTCCTCACTGAGTATTCAGCAAACCAAATGTTTGCCTTAGGAAAAATCTCTGCTTAGGAGACTAATTACTACAAGCACCGTTGTAACCGTGATCTGTTCCAAGCCTCTTACTGATTTTTCCATTCTTTCCTAAACAGACTACTTAGATTGTGTCTGTCTTTGTTTCCTGTTATAATCAGTTTTGCTTTTCTTTCACAAGTTCTTCGTTTTCACATTTTAAATGTGGGGTTGTTGGTTTAGGCCCAGTGGCAAAATTAATATGAAGAAAGGAAACCAGATGATGCAGATGCCACGAATGGAAATGTGAATACAGCCTGTGTGTCTACAGTTTGTCTCTGTATTAGAGTACTGTAACCAACATTGTGATAGGATTGTCTTTTTGATATGATAAGTGAGTTTTTTCAGTGTGATGTCATCGTCTGACAGCGTCTTTGTTTTACAGACCAATATAAAGGAGTTTACAGGTGCAAGAAGAAAGAGTGACATCCTGTGGTCACATGCGGGTACTGCAGTCCATGTATTAAAACAAAAAGTCACCGCTGATCCTCATTTGCTAGCAGTGACTCATCAGCAGAAGACTGCAGATGCTGAGCGAAGATGAGTCATACACAGTAAGATAAGTAGATAAATACATCTAGCTGTTTATGTTGTTGGTGGTTTTAAAGAAAAAGCTTCAGAAAGACAACAATTTTTTTTTCTAATTCATCGTTAGCATGGTTAGCTCATCGTTAAGCCTAGTTTATGCTTCTGCACCAGCTCCGCGAGAGAGAGACGCACAAGTACTGACAGACATTTTGCCTTTGGACTTCTCCGTCTCCTGGGGAGCGTTGCTTCCCCGCCATGACTACAGAGGGTGTTTCTGGTGCATCCTGTCATGTATCCTGTCCAAGATTTGCTATTGTGTTTATTTTTGTATTTCAGATCATTTTTAACACAGAAGAATTTGTCCCTCATTCTCATCCACCTCTTTAAGCGCTCGCCACCTCTAAATCCACATTTCCCATCATTTCCATCCATGGATAAAACGCTTGATGCATATCTTTTTACTCCTCCAGTCACGGGTGAGTAAAACTTTCACTGAGTTTGTCTGCAATGTATTCCTCAATCTGCTCCCTGTCTGCTAGATATCGTCGGCTCTCTTCATTCTTTTGAGGGCACAACGGCGGGGGTGCTGATGATAAAATTAAAGGAAGCAGCGTCCTAACCAGTCACAAGCTTGTGCGGCAAGTCTGTCGTACACAGGCACCACCGGTCTCTCAGAACACCACCAGCAGGCAAGGTGGGTTAAGTGTTTTGCCCAAGGACACAACGACAGCGACAGATTGAGCGGGGCTGGAACCTGCAACCTTAGGGACTGAACTCCTGTCATCGTCGCCCCGCTCGATAGAGTAAAACAAAAAGATGCCATTGATTTTTAGGGGTACAAGTTCCTTCCATTATGTCTACAACGCTGCTGCTTTTAGCTGGCTGCTGTTGAACTACATGTTCTGGAGCTGACTTGGCAACCCCACTGGCTCAAGTATGATTGGCTATTGAACCAGGAAGTATAGAGGCGGCTCTTCAGCCCTTTTAAAAGGAGGAAAAATTAACAACCCTCCAGCTGGCTGATAATGAAATGTGTTTCAATGTAAACTTGCTTCCAACGTTATTTTCACTGAAAAATTCTTAATTTTGCAGTTTCAAGGTTAAAGAGCAAGTCACCCCCTACCAGAGTCTTACTCAACTCCCACTTCATGTTTGAAAAATGCAACAAATGCTGTTGCCTAGCAGACCGAGAGGGCAGAGCCGCTAACAAATACACACACACAGGCTCACAATGACATTGTGACATCATAATGTACCAGCTAACATCACTGTGTACCTCTTAGCCAATAGCGATGGCAGATTTAAATTCAAATCCAGTGCAGAGTTTTTGCCTGACGACAGCAAAACGTTGACAGTTTTAGTCCGAATATTTAAATTTTGACTAAGATGCACTAAAGTGCCAAATGATTGGCTACACTTGTCTACAGCTCGACTAGACACTCGTTTGTCTTCATCAGCAAAAAATGTTGAGTTGGGGGTGACTTGCTCTTTAGGAAAAGTTTTTCAAATGTTCTTTTACGAGTATTTATGTTAAATTTTCACCATCGCTGTCAAAATGATAAAAAATACCAAATGCAATCAATTAATTACCCAATCATTTTAATTAATTATTCAAGCCATAAAACGGCCATAATTGGTTCTTTTGGTTACATCCGGTTTTGGACTGCAGGAACATTAAATTCATCAAATACATTTTTTGTTTTTACATAAAAGGATCTCAAATAGAGCGGGCAAAAATAAAACTATACATGTTTTTTTTACAAACAAAGGAAAAAAGAACTTACCTTAACCGAGTCTCTATCTGAGGAGGTAAAAGGCAGAAAAGAGAAATGATTAAAACAAGTTCTTGTCTGAATGAAAAGTATATAAAAAAAGGGATATTTTTTATACTATACAGCAAATTGCTTACATTCTTCATGAGAAGATATTACCTGAGAAATCTTCAAAACAAACCACTTTAACAGATGTCAGAGATTAATCCTGCAGAAAATGTACACTCTCTGCAATAAAACATTTCTTTTCTCATCCTGGAGCTACAGTCACAAAAACACAAGTCAGAACCTTCCGCCTGCAAAATCGCATGAAATCTTTTGAGAGTTTGAAAAAGTAAAAAAAATCTCTTTAAAGTTTCAATGAACTGTCAGAAAAAGAGCTGTGAAAATACACCATGTGCTGTGATTACCTATAAGACAACATAAATACAACGTTAAAGGGTTCAAAAGAAAAGCTAATAACAGTAATAGGGTCATAATAGCCTACCAGAGCAGGACAGATACATAAATAAAAAGTTAAACGTGTAAAAACTTCTTCAAATAATGTCAGTTATACTGCTGTGAATGTAATTCAAAAGAAAATATAACCATGAAAAGTCAATGGTTTCAAACATTCTTTCATCGAATCAAATTTTAAATTTCTTTACCGTCATGAAAGCTACAAGAAGTTTTTTTACTCACATAAACAGCAAAACTGCTTCCTAAAACATCTATAAAATAATTAAATAAATGAGAATATGATCGGATTTCTTTTAATCTGGTTACAAAATTCACCAAAGTCATAATTCCAGTAAGAACGCTTCTAAAACCTTTAAGAGGAAATAAAGACACCACTTTTCTCCGCATGCATTTCTTCCCAGGAACTTTGAGGATGAAATAGCATTTTTATTGATCACCGTCTAAAGTGGGGTGAATGCCGCATGCATTAGCAGCTGTTAGCTTTACTGTATCTATAGGGCAAGGTTAACTGCACGATAAAAGCCCTCCTAGATGCACTGCAACAGAGTAATGAAGTGGCTGCATGGCACACACACACACACACACACACATACAAGCACATATTCTCTTCATGAACAGTAATTAAATACTTCAGCGCAAGTCTGATCAGAGGAGTTAAAGCTGTTCTTGGTGTAAAAGAGAAAAGCGTTATCACGGTGGCTGTGTACCGTGTCCTAACCGACCAATTAAAGTAGCCTGATGATGAGTCAGATTGTAATTGTTTGAACTGCTGCTTATTGAAAGCACTAACGATTAAACAGTAACAGAACAAGTGATTAAAAATAAATGTGTGTGTGTGTGTGTGTCCATATATATATATATATATATGTATATATATGTATATGTATATGTATGTATATATATGTATATATATGTTAGAACTGAACATTCCGGACAAATAAAACAGGTCTGGGATCATTTTTCATACGTTTAACATGTTCTGAAACTGAAACCTGCACGGAAAATAGCTGAGTTCTGGTGTATTTTTACAGCCTTTCTTTATAAAAGAACAATGATTATCACGGAGTATCCACTGTCGGAACGTCCGGGTAATTCACTGAACCTTCGCAGCATGCGCGTGTCTCCGTTTCACCGGCCCGGCCCAAAATGAACACCAAGCCTTTTCAGGCCCAGTAGCGTTGCTGGGCGGGACTTGTGGTTATCTCATGCTGATTGGTTGTAACTCAGTGGGAAAGGACGTCGCCAGACATCTCCAAAAAATTGGCAATATTGGAAAAGTTGCCAGTGAAGAAAAATTCAAGGAAAATTGAATGGAAAAACTCCTTTTCTGAACTCCAAACACTGAAAATGCATTGTAATTCCCCTCGGAACGTCGTAATTGACTGCGTTTTGTGGTCTCCTACAAAGC